TGCTGATATCTTTAAGAGAAGATGAAATTAACCTGATTTTCTGCCCAAATGACTTCATTCTTTCTGAGAAAGGGGAGTACTCGGTCGATTCTGGTTGCATTTCAAAACTATCATTACCATGTTTAAAGAAGAAGAAGAAGAAATCTCTTTAAGGGAAGTCTATGGGCCTCCTATATTCAATGAACATGGCTGTTAAAAACTCGTTTCTGAAACATTTATCTCTAATGTGAATTATGGAATGTTAACTGATCTTTATTCACAGGGCTTAAAAAAGGATTTTGGCCAACCTTAGTGAATATTGGGATGATAATCGTCTTTGTTTGCTTCATGTAAAGTGTTTTAGAGGGCAATTATACAAGCCAACTCCAGATTAAGAGATTTCATTCTCCTTTCTCCTATTCTGTCTTTGTTCTAATGGGGACCTCGCCATATCACAGCCAATGATAAGACCTGACGTAAGTATTCCAAAGGGCTAAATGCAGTTTTAAGCTAGATTTTTGGATGCTGGGGCTGGATGAGGCTTTCAGATTTGCAAAGCCTTCGCAGCATGATAAGCATTATCTCCTTTGAGGCCCACAGCAAACCTGGGAGGGGGGAGCCGCAGCTTTAATGAGCCTCATTTTGTAAATAAGGATATGGGACTCGGTGAGGGGCACCCGCTGGTCAGGATCATCCCGCCTCCAAGGCCAGTCCATGATGACGCACAGTTACAAAGAGGTCTGGGGAGGGAAAAGTTGACCTGTTCTATAGATGGACGGCGATGGTCTCCAAAGCTGTTGTTGATCAATCACTACATCAAGGAGCATTTATCAAGCACCTACTACTTTGTGACCCTGGGCAAGTCACTTCACCCTGTCTGCCTCAGTTTCCTCCTCTGTAAAAAGAGCTGGAGAAGGAAATGGCCAACCACTCTAGTATCTTTGCCAAGAAAACCCCAAAATAGGGCTACAAAGAGTCAGACACGTCTGAAACGACTGAACAGAAACAAGGATCGCATAAGCACTGGGAATACAAAGACAAAAGGGAATGCCTCCTTGCCCTCAAAGAGCTTACGTTTTAAAAGGGCAGATGTACATATGTGTAAGCATATACAAAAGTAGTGAGCCCTGATGGGGTTCTTCCTGCCAGGTTTTCCAGTTCTTTCCATCAATTGAAGACATAGGCGATGTATCAAAGCTTGACCTGAAGTGATTCTAAATCTCCTAATCTCCATCTCTCCATTACTCCATAAAACCATATGTTCAGACAGGAAGTGAGCCCATCCCAGCACTCAGCTCCACCATTAGTGGGCTGAGCCCACTATTGCTTAATTCACTTTCTTCCTGGAAACTCTAGCTGCAAGAACACGGTTGTTGACCTGGAGCAGGATGTCTCTACCGAGCCTCTTATTTAAGCCCATTTGGACGTGATAAAGATGAGCAATAAACCAGAGAGAGGGATCCTCTGATTCAAGTGCTCTGGCCAAAATGTTTTATCCTGGCAGGCATTTCTATAACAGCAACAAAAGTGACTTAAAAGGCTGGAGAACTCTTTTATGGGCAGACCCGGCTACATTTGGAAAAATAAGGCCGTTAATGAGAAGGATGGCTAAGACTTACCTAGCACAGAAAGTAGGATTCACACCGGGTTTAGGGCATCTGCCCCTCCATGCCCTGTATCCTGCATTGTATTGTTGTATTGTGCATTGAAAATTCAGCGATCTGGAGTTGCCTGAGTCCCCAATAAGGGAAGTAGGATCCCCAGTTATCACATTCACTGGCCATGGGGAAGCATAAATGCCTCAGATCAGGAGTTTATTGTCAAAAGTGGTGTTTTAAGAAACTGCCATTGATCTTGAGTTGGAAGGCCTCTCAGAAGGGAGCCAAGGGGGGGAGGGGGGACTTGGTGGCCAATGGTGGAGCTAGGATCTGACCCCAGTTCCTCTCACCCCAAGGCCAGCATTTTCCCATTTCACCATCAGACCCAAAAAGGATGGCCTCTCCCCAGCTTTGGCAGCTTTAGCTGGTGCATCATTCTCATAGTGAAGGGCTTTACTCTACTCCCTAGCTATTCCCGGTTACACTATAGATTTGCTTTATGAGCTACATTCAGCAGGTCCCTTGATTTCTTCCCCATCTGAAAAGTGGCCACACTTGCCATATATCCACCCACAAAGCTCTTCTGAGAATTGGACATTCTCCTCACCCATTGTAATCAGGGCCATGCTGTGTGTTTCTGAGAAACCAACCCTGAGAAGGGCCAGTGAGCCCTTCCAGATGTGACTCTGGCTTCTCGTCTTCTAAGTCTGGTCACAGTTTTTAGATGAAGCTCAATGATTTCCTTTTCCCTAATTTGCCAGGACATTAATTGTTTAGAAAATGTTTTGTGCTCCTCAGGTGCACGCCCCCCCCCCATTGTTATCAAAGAATTTGAACCTTGTGTCTCTGTAGTTTCACACTTTCTGGAAACAAGTTCAGGAGAACAAAAAAGAATTTCCTTTAACAAATGTTCCCATCTATAGGCAAATCTACCTTCATGTTCCTGTAAGCTTCCCCTGGGTTGTACTGAAAACTTGCTTCTCCAAGGCCTGAGAACACACCTGCAAAATAGGGCACCTTTGACAGAATGAAGACAGGCCACGGCCAGGTAGATCCGAAGAGGAAGATGACTTCTTTTACAGGACTTCACAGTCAGCTGGCATCATGGGTAAAATTCTGGGCATGGTGTCAAGAAGACCTGGCATCAGATCCTGCCATGCCATTTACTTGCTATGTGACTTTGAGCAGATACTTACCATCAACAACAGCAACAACAAGCATTAATTAAGTGCTTACTGAATGCCAGGAGCTGCGGTAAGTGCTAAGCTACAAAGAAAGACAAAAATAGTCCCTGTCCATAAGAAACTCCCATTCTAATACAGCAATACATAAATAACCAGCTACATATAAGATGTCAATGATGTAAATGGGAGATAATCTCAGGAAGAGGCGGGGCAGCTAGTTGGAACAGTGGAACAGAGTGCCAGGCCTGGAGTCAGGAAGACCTGAGTTCAAATCTGACCTCAGATATGTACAAGCTGCATGACCCTGGGCAAGTCACTTCATTCTGCCTCAGTTTCCTCATCTGTAAAATGATCTAGAGAAGGAAATGGTGAACCACTCTAGTATCTTTGACAATAAAAGCCCAAATGGGGTCACAGAGAGTCAGTCACAACTAAAACAACTGAACAACAACAACAATCTCAGATGGAAAGTGCTAGAAGCGGTAAGGGGCAGGAAAGGCCTTCACTGTGGCAGCTGAGTGGAGGATGGACTGGGGTGTGGAGAGAGTTAAGACAGGGACACCCACCAGCAGCCACTGCATTAGTCCAGGGGGGAGACAGTGAGGGTCGTCACCATGGTTGTGATGGTTTCAAGGGGCATATGTGAGAGATGTTACGAAGGTAGGATCAATGCTCCCAGCAACAGTTTGCATATGGGAGGTGAGAGAGTGAGGAGTTAATGATGCCAAGGTGGAGAGCCTGAACAACTGGGAAGATGGCAGCACCCTGGACCATGATAGGAGCATTACGAAGAGTGCAGGGTTTGGTGGGAAAGATAACAAATTCAGTTTTGGTCATGTTGAGCTTAAGACATCTATGGTGCAATCTATTTGAGATGTCCAGTAGGAAACAGAGGCTGGAGGTCAGGACAGAGGTTAGGGCTGGGTAACCAAATCTGAGAGTCATCTGTATAGGGAAGACAATTGAATCCATGGAAACTGATAAGACGGTTAAGGATAAAGCATAAAGAAAGAAGAAAAGACATCCTAGGACAGGGACATCCATGGGTGGTGGGTCTGACCTGCACGAAGATTCAAGTGGAAAGAGAACCAGGTATAGGAAAACCTAGAGAGGAGAGAATATCCAGGGAAAACAGTGATCGAAATGTTGAAGGCTGACAGGAGGTCAAGAAAGACTGAGAACAGGCTGTTAGATTTGGCTATTAAGAGCTCACTGGTCACTTTGGAAAGAATCATTTCAGTTGAAGGACAAGATTGGAAGCCATAGGATGAGAGGATGTGCCTCAGGCACCTCGCTAGGACCTCTGGGCTGTCCTAGACAGTTGATTGCAGGGGAGGAGGGCGCCATGTGCTGAGCTCATTCCCTTCCTGCCAGTAATGACAGCCATGCCTGGTTTAGAATTCTCATGTATTCCATTCTGTATGTGGTGCAGAAGCAGCCTGGCCAAGGACAAAGCTAGGGCAAGTGGAAAAAATGTATGACAGAGGTGTGTTTGGATACCTTCAAAAAAATCTAAAGATAGCTCTGAATCTCTCCCAATTCGGAATTCATGGGCAATTCCATTCTCACACAGGTTATATAAAATTAAGAACCTAGAGGGGCAAAGACATATCATGGCAAAGGGCAAAACCCTTTGCTGAAATTTCAGCTCAAGCAATTCCAGGCAGAGTTCTCTCTTGCTCAGTCTAAAAATCTTAGGTCATCTTTGAACGCATGCCCTTCCCATCTTGCCCCACTGCACGCCATCCTTGAAATCACAGTCGCTCTGCTCCCAACCTTCAAAGCTCTCTGTTCTCACTGAGACCACACTCATAGGACCTCATCGCCTCTCCTCTGAACTACTACAGAATTCCCTCACTCGTCTTCCCACCTTTATCTAACCCACCTTGAAAGAGCACTGACTCTGGAGTCTGAGGAACTGGGTTCAAATCCTACCTCTGACATATTAGCTCATGACTTTGGGCAAGTCAGTTCATACCTTGGGCCTTGATTTTCTCATTTGTAAAACGAGAGTTGGATTGAATGAGTTCTAAGGTCCTTTCTAGCTCTAAATCTGTGTTTTGATTTTATATTCATTGCATGTACTTGACAGTATGTGTGTGTGTGTGTATACATGAATAAATGTGTTTATTCCAGATATATGTGGAATACATATATATGTGTAAAAGATCCAGGATGGCCTAGAAGATAAGGAGCGAGGAGGACCCTGACACATAATAGCTGTGTGACTTTGTGATCTCTCTTAATCCTCTAAGACTAGGAGGTGCCAGCCTACATTGGTAGAGGGGGTCTTACCAACTGGGAGCTCCTTCCACCTATAAAGTCGCATGCCCTGTCCCTATCCATGGCCCGTCCATTGATACTTATTCTTATGTATGTCAATGTCTTCTCTCTCCTTAGAACTGAATTCCTCAAGAGCCTTCATTTGGGTCTCTAGATTTTCATCACCTCACAGCGGCCCTCGAACACGACGGGCACTCACTAAATATCGGTTGATTGGTTGTGACATTTCCCATCTGGATGCTTGCCTTCTGACTGTCTAATGTTCGCAGAGATCATTGGTCTTGGAGCCAACAAGATCTGAATTCAAATCCCACTGATGACACTTACTAGTTGTGTCGCCCTAGGCAAGTGACTTGTCTTCCATCTTCTCTGTATCCATATCTTATATGTACCTAATTATTTACATGTTGCCTCTTCCTTGAGAATATAAATTTCTTGAAAGAATATTTTTACTTTTCCTTGGCACCTCCAAGACTTAACTCAGTGTCTAGCCCCTAGTAAACGTGTAATAAATGTTTGTTGATTGATTGACATCACCTCTCTAAGCCTCAGTTACTGCTCTGTCTCCTAAACTTCCTTGTATTTAGCTACGTATTTCTATGTATTTACCTTATATTTGTGCAGTGACTATTTTTCAACCTCCTTGTTGTCTGCTCATTCAAACATAAGCTCCTTGCACGCAGGAATTGTTTTGTTTTTAGTACTGGTATCCCCAGGACCTAGTACAGTGTTGGGCACATAGTAAGTGCTTGATAAATACTTATCAGTTCATAGATCTGTAAAATAAAAACTCCAAGGTCATGTAAGCAAAGCCTCTGCAAATGTTAGAGTCTTATAGAAGCATCGGTTATTACTCTGATTATTTTTATTTTTAAGCTCCCCACTCCCCACACAAACGTAGCCAAAGCCCTGAAGTCCATCCCACCATGGAAGATTGTTAACCCTCATTGCTTGAGGTCACTCTCAGTCTGGGCCAAGGAGACTTTCCAATCCAGACCGAGAGGAAGCCAAGGGAGCAGAGTAATGTGGCACTTAGCAGGCTTCCCCCTGCAGGCACTTTTATGGCATCATACTTAAGGAGGGACCTTCCCTGGATGCACCGGTCCTTTTGCTTCATACTTGGGTGACACATCCAGGAGATTTTTTATACTGAAAAATGGGGGCACTAAAAAGGGATGGTGGCTATAAATTGTTAATGGGTCCTTTTCACCATTTACGCTCTGCTTTATTCTCTCTCTGCACTCCAGGCAGCTCAGGACCATGAACCAGGGCAAGATCTTGGCACATTTGTTCATACCCATGATTTGTTGTCTAGATTCTGCCATGGACTGCTGCATCCTAAAGTCTCTGGAAGAGACCCCAGAGGCCACCCCATTTTATGGATGAGGAGACTGAGACCCAGAAAGGTGATGATTTGTCCAGAGTCCCTTGCTAGTGAGTGTCAGAGGAAAGACCTGAACCCAGCTCTTTCTGACTCCAAGCTCAGCTCTATCCACTCTGCCACACTGTCTCAAATATGGGGATGGGGAATGAGACTCAATCCCTTTCCCACCTTCATCAGTGACTTTCAGCAAGTCATTAAATCCCAGAGTTGGAAGGGAACCCAGAGATATCTTATTCTAACCCTTTCATTTTACAGATGAGGAAAGAGGCTCAGAGAAGGAGAACTTAGAAGCATCCAGCTGCTTAATAGCGGAGCTCAGATTAGAACCAGGGCTTTCCCATTTCTAGACCAGCGTTTTTCTACTACATCACAATATCTACTTCATAAGTAAATGAAAAAAGCATTTAGTAAGTACCTACCTAGTCTGTTCCAGACAGAGGGATAAATGCAGGGTATACAAAGACAAGAGTGAAACCGTCTCCACTCTCTTTAGGATCATAGAAGGAGAGCAGAAAGGGGCTTTAGAGAATGTCTAGAATACGCTCATCTCATTTGCTCAATGGGAAAATCAAGGCCTGCTAGAGATGGCATCCAAAAAACCTAACATTATCCTCAGCTGCATTTGGAGGTGTGCATGGTGTCAAGAATGAGACATGTAATCACCCCACTGTGCTCTACCCTGGTCAGAGCCCACCTGGAATGCTGTGCTCAGTCTGGACATGACATTCTAGGAAGAACATTGGTAGGACAGTGTCCAAAGAACGACAACCAGGATGTTGAGCTCGCCATAAGGCAATTGACTGAGGGTGCCAGAGAAGTTTCATCCAGAAAAGGCTTGAGGTGATCATAAACTTTAAGGTACTTTACATGACCCTCCACCACCCTGAGGAGGTTATCCCCATTTTACAGATAAAGAAACTGAGTCAAACAAAGACTAAGTGTTATTAAGTGTCTGAGGCAGGATTTGAACTCATGTCTTTCTGTCTCCTAGTCTTGTACTCTATCCACTGCACACGATCCATGACAGCTGTCTTCAAATATTTGAAAGTCTCATGTGGAAGAGGGGTTACGCTTGTTCAGGGTGATCCCAGGGGGCAGGATGAGAATCAAAGGGCAGAAGTTCAAAGAGGCAGCTTTAGGCTTGATGTGAAGGAAAGATTCCTAACAATTAGAGCTGGCCCAAAGTGGAATGGACTAACCCCTTTGGAGGTCATGGGTTCTCCTTTGCTCGGTCTTTAAACAAGGACTGGATGACCACCAGGTTATTCCATGGCGGAGATTCCTCTTCATATACAACTTGGGTCAACAGCCTCTGAGGACCCTTCCTGCTCAGAGACCTTAGAATTAGGGTGAATAAAGGCATAAATAGATCAAAAGCAAATAACAA